GAGTTTTAAGCCAACTCTTTCACTCTCCTCTTTCACTTTCATCAAGAGGCTCTTTAGTTCCTCCTTGCTTTCTGCCATAAGGGTGGTATCATCTGCATATCTGAGGTTATTGATATTTCTCCTGGCAGTCTTGATTCTAGTTTGTGCTTCATCCAGACCAGCATTTCTCATGATGTACACTGCGTATGAGTTAAATAAGCAGGGTGACAATATACACCCTTGATGTACTTCTTTTCCAAATTTGAACCAGTCTGTTGTTCCATATCCAGTTCTAACTATTGCTTCTTGACCTGCATACCGGTTTCTCAGGAGGCAGGTAAGGTGGTCTGGTATTCCCATCTCTTTAAGGATTTTCCACAGTTTGTTCTGATCCACACAGCCAAAGGCTTTAGTGTAGTCAATGAAGCAGAAGTAGATGTTTTTCTGGAATTCTCTTGCTTTTTCTGTGATCCAGCGGATGTTGACAATTTGATCTCTGGTTCTTCTGCCTTTTCTAAATCCAGCTGATACATCTGGAAGTTCTCAGTTCACGTACTATTGAAGCCAAGCTAGGAGGATTTTGAGCATTACCTTGCTGGCATATGAAATGAGTGCAATTTTATGGTAATTTGAACATTCTTTGGCATTGCCTTTCTTTGTTATTGGAATGAAAACTGACCTTTTCCAGTCCTGTGGCTGTTGCCAAGTTTTCCAAATTTGCTGACAGCTCAAGTACAGCACTTTAACAGCATCATCTTTTAGGAGTTGAAATAGCTCAGTTGAAATTCCATCACCTCCACTAACTTGGTTCGTAGTAATACTTCCTAAGGCCCTCTTAACTTCACACTCCAGGATATCTGGCTCTTGGTAAGGGATTACATCATCTTGGTTATCTGGATCATTAAGACCTTTTTTGTACAATTCTGTGTACTGCATGGTAAAAATTCACCAGAAGAATCACTAAGTCAAAGTGTACCAAGGCTATTGATCCATTTTGACAAATAGCCTCTAAAAAGGTAAAAGTTTTTCTGTACTCTGGGGACTAGCAATGTGTTAGTTCCTTTAAGATAGCAAAATCCAGTGATTCCAGAAGCACAAGGAAACTGAACAAAATGCTTGAATCCCTTCCTTTTCCTGCAGTCTGTGAGGCAACTCAGATATGTGGGTCCCTAATCTGGACCCTAAACCACTTTCTGTCTCCCTGTTAGATGTTCCTCCAGGGGTGTGTTTCTTGGAATGTGTTCATGTATTCCCACCCTAAAGGGCTCTGTGATTAAATAGGTTTGAGAAATAATGTATGCTTTGTTAGCTTCTTGAAGCTTAATATGAACTTACCATATTCAAGGCTTTGAAAAATTCTAAAGCAATATCTTTTAATTTTCCCCCAAACTTACTTGATTAGGTTAGCTTTTTTTTTTCATGGACTACCACTAACATTTGGAAGAACACAAGTGTTTCATCAGATTCATTTTGAGAAATGTTTCTATAAGATGTACATTTTATCTCTTGTTAACATCAGCTGTTTATTTTATGAGCTGTTTTTCCCGTGAGCAAACAGCATTCACCACAATTTCTAGTATTTTTCTTTAGAGAAACCAGGGAAAGCTGGGGCCCCAAATACTCTTGAAATACTATTTTGTGGATAGTAACAAGTCACTGAAGCTTTTTAAGCAAAGTAATTGTGAGATTGGATCTGGGTTTTTAGGAGAACTAGCATAACAAGGACGTGCCAGGTAGATGAGGATAAGGCTAATAGAGCAACATCTTAGACAGGAGCTAGAAGGGCTGGAACTGAAGCTGTGGCAGTAAAAATGGGAGGGCAGGGCCGTGCATGTGTAAGAAATAAGAATCAGTGGGTCTGGTAAGTTGATTGCCTCGGGGAGGAGGGAATATGTTGTGAAGTGACTTCAGGCTCTGCATGTGGTTTAGACTGAATGAATACATTTGTACTTAAGATTTTTTATCTCAAGTCATTATCAGTCTACTTGAAAATGATTTCTTTTTGACAAGCTTGTTTACTTCCATTGACATTTAGACCTCATAGAATCAGGTCTCTCTTTCTCTCTCATATATATTGCTTTGCACTTTATGGATCCTCAAAATGTATTTTCTGATAACTTTTTCCAAGTCCTTTCTGGCACTTTTGAAATCATACGGTAGAAAGGAATTTCAAAACATTCACCAGTACACCCCTGCATGCTGCAAATGCTCCAGACAGTAAGTTGCCTTTTAGAAAAATTCAGAAGTAACCATCCATAATAACCATCTCTATCTTGAAGTGTTGTAAAAAAATCGTTCATTCAGGTATTTTTTAGTTAACTTGGGATTGTTCCCACTCCAGTTTAAGCTCTTTTCCAGTCCCAGGAAGGAGAAGATCATTCAGTTGTGTCCACCTCTTTGTGACCCCATGGACTGTAGCCCACCAGGCTCCTCTGTCCATGGGATTCTCCAGGCAGGAACACTGGAGTGGGCGCCGTGTCCTTCTCCAGGGTAGCCTCCTTCCATGCTCTAAAACTGCATCCGTGCCACCTGGTCTGCTTCCTTTGAGAGCCCCAAAGGTCTGCCCAGGAGACCATTGTATAATTTAAATACAAAACACATAAGGCATTTATACCATTTATGTAAGGATTACAGTTATTTTTCACCCTTTGGTAGATGCCTACAGAAGGTATGCCATGGATTAGGCTTTTTTCTTCTTTTTAAAGCAGCTCATTCAAGGAAAAACAGGATTTTTTTGGATGACAAAGGACACCAATATTGATTTACATTTCTTAGCAGTTTTATTCCAGTTGACAGGTTTATTGGAAGATAGAGGCAGAGGAGACTATCTTTCATTTGTAATTTCACAGGGCAGCTGCTGCATTCCATTGCACTGTGTATGATTAGAAATGTCTTAAGATAGTGATTCTGCAGCTGCTGTTAGGTTCCTTTTGATAATCTGATGAAAGGTTATGGACCTTCCCAGAAAAATGTTCTTACAAATTCACATACATTTTTATATGTAATTTCATAGATACCAGCATATGGCTTTGCTTTTCCAAGTATAGTGTTTATTTTTAACAATATACCTTGTTCAATAAATTCCTTTATTTATTCCTCACGTATTTTTTGCACATTTGTCTCAAACCAAGCCTGAATACAGTGTAGAAGGAGATAAACAAGGACTGTGCCCTCATGAAGCAGTAAACAGACATCACATTCCAGAATTATCTAACACTTTCTTAATTATAAGTGCAGGAAAGGAAAAAATGTTAGTGAAAGAATGTTTTTGGGGGGTGCTATTTTGTATAGGGTGGATTTGAATCACTGCTAAAACAAAATGGGAATCTTAAAAGCAAGAAATAAAACATATCTCTATAGGGTTTTTAAATATAAAATCAGATTATTAGACTTGTAAGAGCATGCAGTTTTTCCCACCTAGAGTCTGGCTCTGCTGAGAGCTGGGACGGCTTTTCTATCCCCAGCTGGCCCTGAGCTGATTTGTATACTTGTCCCACCCTCACCCTCCCCAGCCCACACTGTCCCACGCAGGCTCCCATCAGCCTCGGAGCGTGAACCTGCTGCAGTGTGCAGTGGCGAGGACCGCTGCGCCAGCTGCCTCTTGTTTCTGCTCTGATATTTGGCTACCCAGGCCACCTCACAAGAGAAGTAATTCACTTCAGCGTTTTCTTGAGATTAACATATAATTAATTTCTGCCACTCTTGACAAAAATATCTAAATTACTCAAGCAGAAAATGCAGCAAGGCATTTGATCTATGCTGCTGAAAAATGATAAGAATTAATGGTGTTTGTGAAAACAGAGCAAAGGGACCAGGTACAGCTTAGAATTTTCAATTTGCTGTGGCTCTTCACCAGCAGTTCACATATCATATTACAGAGCTGAGGGAAGAACTGGTCTGGAGCTCCTCTGAGACTTGGTTTGATGTACTTCTTTCTTACTGTAATTCTGTACCCTTGTCTAATGCCTTACTCCCTAGCGTCTGGGCGCCTCCTGTGTGTTGGCCACTAGGGGTGCAGCGGTAACCAGTCCCTGCCCTCGTGGAGTTTCTAGTCTTACGGGGAAAGTAGACATTACTAAAATAATCATCTCGGTGGCCACCTATTTACAGCCTGATTTAAGAGTGATAAAAAAGAGGAAAAGGGAAACGTTTCTACAACACATGTAAGAAGAGACTTGGTGGAACAGCAGTGCTTCCCTGGAAGTGATGCTTGAGCTAAGAACTGAGCGGTGGGGTGTGGTAGTTTTACAGAAAGAGAACAGGCAGGGTGTGGCAGTGCAGGCTGAGAGAGGCAGGGCACAGAGCTGGGAGCTAGGATGGGGAGGACTTGGATGTGAAGGGTGAGGCAGATCAATCTCCGGTTTCCGGCTTGTGCACCTCGCGTGCCTGTGGTGCCGTTCACAGCAGTGAAGCCAGGTGTGGCGCAGGGAGCCTACATGGTGAGGTGCAGACAGAGTGGAATAGTCAGATAGGCAGCTGGTTATCAGAGTCACTCATTGGACGGGTTTGAGTCAGATTAAAATGCACGTGTTCTTTACTGAGCAGATTAATAGAAGCGTGGAGCTAAGATAACTTTGAGCTTTCTTTTTTTTTTAATTCAAAATATTTTAATTTCAAATGATTTGGTTTGTAAGGTCCCTAAAAACCACATTCTCTATCTTGGGTATAGTCATCCTTGGTTTAATTCAACAACTGTTTATTGAGTGGAGTACATTTATATGTAGGTAGAATGTAATTACACACAGGTCATGAACCCAGGCTAAGCTCTCTCTGAGTTCAGTAAAAAATGTCACATTATTCTTTCCTGTAACAGAAGTTTATGTTAAATAACTATGGATTTACTTGTATTTTTTTGTGAAATCTTTGTTTACAATCCCTTGCAGTGCTCTTCTAGCAAGTGTATCAACCTTCCTATATTCAGTTATTCTCCAGAGGAGAAAAAGATGTTTTAGTGAACTTGAAACATGTTCATGATGTGTTTAACATAATGAACTTTTTAAAGAAATGTTTCTTTTCTCCAGATTTGAGGTTGAATTTGTCCTCTCAGCACCTACTTCCGAATGGAGTGGCAAACAGGGATACATTTCACCAGCTCTGCTCTCTGAATTTTTGAAAAGAAGTTCAGACACATCCAAAGTCCTCATCTGCCTTTGTGGACCAACGCCATTTACAGAACAAGGAATGAAGTGAGTAACAATGTGGTAGGTGAAAGAAATGCAGCACTGGTGAAATGACCACCTTCTATAAAAAGCAGCTGATGTGGCTCTCAGTTCTTCCTGTTCATATGAACCTGCACTTTAGTAGTCTGTCACAGTGTAAGAAAATCATAATGAAGTGTTTAATCTGTATGCAGTGAAAGGTTGGAGGCCCCAGTTACGCACAGAGTTAAACGTGAACACAAAAGTAAGACATACCCAGCTCTTGATAGCCTCTCATAGTGGTAGGCAGCATGAACACATTCACAGAATGGGTGCTCGGTCTTTTCTGGGATGCTCGATTCAACCTCTCCTTCCACCAGAGCTTCATAATATATAATAATCTTTTAGAAATATAAGCTGTGTTCATCTCATTTTAGCTTTTGATCCTCCTTCACTCTCTGCAGCTGGGTGAGCATTAGTCAAAGAGTTGAACTCTGCACAATGAAAAATCAGTGGTATGACTATCTTATTTAAAAATCACCTTGATCTGATTTAACTCTAAAATGACACATTAACATGTTTTGGTTAGGTATAGCGATAGCCACTGTTATTGGGTTTCTAAATGATTTTAAAATATAGCTGCCTTAAAGGCTCTGCATTTTCCTTGTTTGGTAACTGAACCTAACACTTTCTAGTTAGTTTTCTCTCTTGCTGTTTTATTTTTAATTATGAAAAAGGCAGGAGGTGTGGCTGGAAAGGCAGGGTGGGATTAGATGGTGAGAGGCTTGCCCGCTGTACCACACTGGTCCTTTTGACTCCTGTGCCATCCTGACCCTTGGTGTGAATATGTGTGTCTGCTCTGGAAGCTACCAGTTTGGGTTGGAGTCCCAGCTCCACCGCTTACAGTCACCCTGCAGCCACTAGCTATGAGCCAAAGCTTTCTAAACTTCGGTGCACTCACCTGTATGCACATGTGTGTGCTCAGTCATGGCCCACTCTTTGGGACTCTACTGACTGTAGCCTGCCAGGCTCCTCTGTCCACGGAATTCTCCAGGCAAGAATACTGGAGTGGGTTGCCATTTCCTCCTCCAGGGGAATCTTCCCGACCCAGGGATCAACCCCGCATCTCCTGCATCTCTTGCACTGACCGGCAGATTCTTTACCACTGCCACCTGGGAAGCCCCATTTATACAAGGGAATAAATGATAACGTTTATGCACGTGAAGTGCTTAGCACAGTGACTACATAGAGGGAGTTCTGAATAAATGTTTATTTTTTACAGCAGCATTTTAAACAGCTGCTTTTAAGATTTCAGTCTCCTTTGATAGTGTTTTCCAAGTAAAATTATACTTAACCCGTATTTCTACTTTTCCTGTTCAGTGAGGGAAAATTAAGATAGAATGCTATGGTATCACCTCCTTACTTTGAAAACTGATAAATAAAGGGGAAAAAATTAAGGATTTATTCTGCCTTTTCTGTATGAGCTATACTACTGGGCAAACACATAACAAGTGAGAAGAAGTTATTCTTTAGAGAATTCCTTGGCTGATAAACAAATAAAGAATGATAGAAGTAGGATGTCATCAACTTCAGTCCCTAATGAACTAATTGATCTGCACCTAGATCATCAATGGTGGTTTGCATCCCAAGAGAGAGCCAACCGGGTATTATGTGCCTCGTGATGAAAGAGCACTATCTATGACGTAGCCTGGTCAAAAAGAATTCAACCTGTATCTGATCAAACTCTAGATCTGATTAAATTTAGGGAGATAAAAGGAACATATTATTAGAGTAAAGCCAAGGGGATACAGCAAAATCAGAACCATGGGGGAGTCAATGTGTGAAAATCTTATTTTGTCAACAAAAAAATTGCAGGACAGAGAGAGATGGAGGGGATCTTACAGCTCAAGAGATACCTAAAACACATATAAGCCAGTCACAGTGAATAGACTCCAGTTGGATCTTGATTCAAACATACTTTTAGAAATGATAACACTTATGAGACAGCTGCAAATGTGAACACTTACTAGATATTTGATGACACTAAGGAATTATTGTTAATTATTTAGGAGTGAAAATTATGGGATTTTTTAGACAATGCATGTTAACTGGGAAATATGAAAAAATACTATGGTTACAATGGTAAAGTTTGATCTTATTTTATTTTCAAGCATCTTCCATGAGAAACATGTGCTTTGTATTTGTTTTACAGGATGCTGCATGATCTGAACTTTTCCAAAGATGAGATCCATAGTTTTACAGCATAATGAAGAGCTGTCATTCAACTGTTTAATCTAAATTTGTGATTAATTAGGGTTTTTTTAAGAGAACATTTTTGTATATACTAAAAGGTTAACTAGAATCCAAGTTTCAGTTTCTTAAACAAAAACAAATGTTTCTTCACTATAGATACCTTGTGGACTTTATTTTGTACCTTAACTTATTTTACTACTGATATTTGTCCTGAAAAGTCAATCATGACAAGTATATATAGGATTCTTTGTTATGAATCACAAAGTTCCTTACCATGTAAACTGTTATCACTGTTCTACAATAAGCTCTCGTGTTTTATGACATGATAAAGCAAATGATCATTTTGATCATATTTCTATGCTGTACAATGTCTTATTAGCAATACAGATTAAATTTTACATTGCACTGTTAACTCAGGAAATGATTATTTATGTCCTTGTTCTTATTATGAAAACATGGAATGTTATAACTTATTAAGTGATCCAAACATTTTGTGTCTATGGCCTTGATACAGAGTAGAATAAAAATATACTTAAGTACTTTTTAATATTTGTCATAGAAATGTGTTTGAATACATGTTTGGGGTGGTATATAAGGAGAATTTTAAAAGGCAATGATAAAAGATTCTGGAGAGACTTCACACAGGTACTTTTGGATTAGATGTGTTTAGAAACTTAGATAACTTTGACAACTATTCTTAGCCAAAACTAGAGGCATTGGGAAAGATAATGGAAGTGTAGCCTCTGGTCCCATGGCCTAAAACAATCATTTGCTGCTTTGGAATGGATTAAATTTAAATTCTTTTTGAGTCTGCCTTTAGACCAGCTAGGAAAATGAGGAACATGCCATCCTAAATGATACCTTCCCTCGCTGGCTGCTCGCCCCACAAATGCCAGTTCAGCGGGGAGCCCTCCTAAACTGCTCTGTGGTCATCTTTCTCTCCCTGCCGCTGTGCACAACCAGCAAAAGCTCTCACAGACGGGGATTCTTCAAAGGGAATCAAGAAGAGCCGTTGTGAGCTTTTCACGAGGAAACCGTGTTGGATGCATAGGTAGTTCTGCATAAGCTGACCTCGATTTTTCAGTGTTATTCAGGATAGCAGCATTGCTTTTTTACAGAAATGCCAGGGAGGGGGGCCAGGGGAGGGGTGTCTCCAAGTTCCCTGTAAATGATTTTGTAAACAGCTAAGCTTCACCGAATGAATGGTATACTCAAGAGAAGACACAATATTAACATTCCTCAAATTACACACCCCCAGCCTCGGAAGCTCCCCAAGTGCAAGTGGCTGAGTCAGCACTGTCCCTCCCTGTGTCCCTCGTCTGTCTGTCCTCACTCATCCAGGCGGGACCTGGCTGTCCTGGGCTTCAGTGCTCCCTGGCACCTAATAGAAACATTTTCTACCTCCTGCCTTCCTACCCCCTGCTTTTCTCCCCTAAGACTATGAACTTTCTAGGCATACCTTTTTTGTTGTTAATTAGTAATATAGAAATTAATTCTACCTTAGCCAGCTTTCTTATTTTTTCTATCCTTTTTCTTCTCTCCTCCAACCCTTTTTTGACTGCCTCCAGTAAACAAAGTCTCTGTTACCCTCTGTATCTCTTCCTCTATCCTCTTCATACTGCATTTTAAAGCAAAATAAAACCCATAAGCATCCTCTCAACCTGTATATTAATAATCCTCAGATTAGTGTCTTAAATTGAGAATCAACTGAGCTTCTGTTTTACCTCCCAGATACCACCTGGATGTTCCACAACCCCCTAAAATTCAATAGATCACTAAACTTTTGCCATGACCACCATGTAACCCAACCAGGTTTGTTTGGCTGATGCTTAGCAAGCCAAAACACTGAGACGCCAAGGTTTGCAGCACAGTGAGGGTTTTTCCAGTGGTCATGTATGGATGTGAGAGTTGGACTATAAAGAAAGCTCTAAGTAAGTAAAGTAGCTCAGTCATGTCCGACTCTTTGCGACCCCATGGACTGTAGCCTACCAGGCTCCCCTGTCCATGGGATTTTCCAGGCAAGAGTACTGGAGTGGGTTGCCATTTCCTTCTCCAGGCGATCTTCCCGACCCAGGGATTGAACCCGGGTCTCCAGCATAAAGAAAGCTGAGCACCGAAGAACTGATGCTTTTGAACTGTGGTGTTGGAGAAGACTCTTGAGAGTCCCTTGGACTGCAAGAAGATCCAACCAGTCCATCCTAAAGGAAATCAGTCCTGAATATTCATTGGAAGGACTGATGCCGAAGCTGAAATTCTAATACTTTGGCCACCTGATGCGAGGAACTGGCTCATTGGAAAAGACCCTGATGCTGGGAAAGATTGAAGGTGGGAGGAGAACGGGACAACAGAGGATGAGATAGTTGGATGGCATCACCTACGTGATGGACTAGAGTTTGAGTAAACTCCCAGAGTTGGTAATGGACAGGGAGGCCTGGTATGCTGCAGTCCATGGGGTCGCAAAGAATTGGACACGACTGAGCGACTGAATTGAACTGAGTGTTTTTTAAAAAAATCTGCCAAGTCAGGAGGCCAGAGAACAAGTCTCAGATCTGGAATGGGCTGGGGTAGTTATGGGATAAAGAAGCAGGATTTTCTGAGGCATGGGGAGAGGTGATTTGGAAAAGGTAGGGCAATTGTCATGCTGCGCGTGTGTGACTAAGCTCCAGGCCCTTGCATGTTCAAAAGTGGAGGCACTCTGCAGGACCCAAGAGTGGAGTTTTTAGCCCTCTGATATCAAAAGGTCATTGTGTGGCCATCATCTGTGCCATTTGGAGCATCAGTGATTCTAAATAGTCTTAACCAGCTCAGCTCTAGCTAGACACAGCTGCCTCCAAGTTCCTAGGAAAGTAACTTGGGCAGATATCTTATTGTTTTGGCTACATGCCCCTTGGAAGACAGGCAAGTCTTAAAACTGCCTTAATTAGTGAAGTCAGCTGAAGTGGATTTGAATCGACCCACAGTTTAAATCTCTCCCAAGTCTGTTCCTCCTCTTGAATTCTTGGATTCACTGGTGCTACCTTCCATCTCGCCAGTCCTAGAACTATTCAGGCTCAGTGTCACCCTCTCCAGTCTGATTTCATTCCAACCAGCCCTTCCCTGTTGGCCCTAAACCACACCAGTGAAAGCCTTAGAATTGGTCTTCCTATTGTAGTCTTTAATTACTATTCCTATGGTAGCTCAGATGATAGAGAATCTGCCTGCAGTGCAGGAGAACAGGGTTCGATCCCTGGGTCTGAAGATCCCCTGGAGAAGGAAATGGCTACCCACTCCAGTGTCCTTGCCTGGAGAATTCCATGGACAGAGAGCCTGGCGAGCTGTGTAGTCCATGGGTTTGTAAAGAGTCATCACAACTGAACAACTAACAACAACCACAAAAGTTTGCAGCCTTGATCTCACTGAAATCCATTCTTCACCCCAGTGTGTTCTAGAACGCCTTGGGAACTCCTCTAAATAGAGCCCCAGTCCCCCATTTAATGCAGCCATATACTGAGAAGCACACGTGGCTGTAACTATTATTCTTGAGCAAAGAGCTCCAAGGCTCCTATTTCCTGTGTTTGCAATAAGAAAACGGGATTATATTCAAAGTCACTTTTCCTTGAGAATTCTGCTTTCTTACTTCCTTTTAAAAATGTGTTTATGTGTCAGTTTTCTATTTCTGCCAGAACAAATTACCACAAATTTAGTGGCTTAAAACAACAGCCTATTTGTTCCATGGCTTAGATGTCTGGGCCCAGTGAGGCTCATCTGGGTCTTCTCGCAAGGCTGTAATCAGGCTTGTCAGCTGGGCTCGACTCTTCCCTGGAGAAGATTTCACTTTGGAGACCATTTGAAGAACGTCTTTGGAAGACCATTCTGCCTACTGCAGTCTGTGTAGGGAACAGAGAGAAAATTGTCCAAGGTAAGATAATTATATTTTGTCTAGCCACGTAAACTTGTCCTAAACTAGTTTGGGGCTGTGTTTGTTAATAACTACAGCCCCCCATCTTTGGGCAGATGACAGTCTCTGCCTGGTCTCTGATATTTAGAATGGCGGTTGCTAGCTTAAAAAAAAAATGAAGCCTCCACCACACCACTTCTCTTGGTGTCTTTCTGCTTTGGTTTTCCTATGAATCATCTTCATGCACGGTTGCCAGTTTGGCAGGCCTCAGAACTCCAAAGTAACCTATCTACAATGCAAAAACGTGTTTTCTACCCTGGTTCCAGTCCTCCTCTGCTGCCCGGTCCCCACTCATAGAATGGAGGCTCCTCTTTGGGGGGCAACGTGCTGAGCTTGGGGCCCCTATAATGAGGCACTGATTCCTCACCAGGAAAGCAAGGCCTGAGGACTTCAGGCTGCTGTCCCCAGCCCCCTAGTCCTCCAGCAGGTGCTCAGCTCTCTTCACCTCGAGAGAATCTTCTGTTATTCCAAGAATATTCATGTCCAACTCCTTCCATGGATGTATTTTTTCATTCCTCTTGAATGAATACCTACTACTGAAATTACTGAGTCACATGGTAACTGTATATTTAATTCTATTTTATTCTGCATATATTTTTAGATCTAATGTTGAGACACGCTAGTTAGATAATCATGCTTTTGAATGTACTGTTGCAGATTTTTAAGAAAATGCCAGGTTTAGTGGGTTTTTAGTTTGTTTTTCCCAAACTGGTTGTACCATTTTACATTCCTGCCAGCTCTGTATCAGAATTTCACTTCTTCCACATCCTCAACAACCTTGAATTATTAATCTTTTAAGCTTGTAGGGGTATATTATTGTGGTTTTTTAAATTTATGCATTTTTAATTGAAGGTTAATTGCTTTTCAATATTATAGTTTTAACACATTGTCTGGTGTCTACTCATGTCGAACTTATCATGTGCCTATTGGCCACTGGTGTATTGTCTTTCATATGGTGTCTGTTTTAATCTTTTGCTCCATTTTTAATTGGATTGTTTTTATTATTAAATTGTAAGCATTCTTTATATATCTAGATAAGTCCTTTTTCAGATTTGTTTCATGAATATTTTCTTCCAT